ATCTTCCATTTTCACACCTAACACACTTTTACCCACTTATGACCTTCCACCAACCCCTGCCACTTCACCAACTCCTACCATATCACCTGCCATCAATCCTACTACTCAAGTACTAAACATACCTTCACCAGCAAATATCATACCAGAGAATCCTCTTCGAAGATCAACCAGAACTAGACAAGCCCCACATTATCTTCAAGACTATCATGTTGGGCTACTTGCTGCACAGATAAATCAGTCTTAGTCAGGTGCATCTTCTCTTCCTTCTTCCACCTTATATCCTTTATCTCAAGTTTTATCTTACTCACAATGTTTTCCCATGTATAAACATTTTTGCCTTAATGTTTCTTTTAATGCTGAGCCTAAGACTTATACCCAAGCCAGTAAACATCCACAGTGGCTCCAAGCAATGAAATCTAAGCTAGCAGCACTTAAGCACAATAAAACTTGGTCCCTTGTTTACTTGCCACCTGGTAAGAACCCCATTGGCTGCAAATGGGTCTTTAAAATCAAATACCATGCGGATGGCTCCATAGAGAGGTACAAGGCACGTTTGGTAGCAAAAGGGTTCACTCAACTTCAAGGTGTTGACTATTTTGACACATTTTCACCTATTGCCAAAGTTTCTACCATTCGGGTCCTTCTCTCAGTGGCAGTAGCTAAATGATGGCATCTTCAACAACTTGATGTGAACAATGCCTTCCTTCATGGTGATCTCCATGAGGAAGTGTACATGGTTCCACCTCCTGGACTTCCTTGCTCTCGACCAAATCAGGTTTACTGTCTACAAAAGTCCCTGTATGGTCTCAAACAGGCCAGCCGTCAGTGGCATTCCAAACTTTCAATGGCACTGTTATCTCTTGGTTACAGGCAATCTACTTCTGATCATTTATTATTTACTGTTTCTTGTGGATCTTCATTTACAGCCTTGCTGGTTTATGTTGATGATCTAGTATTATGTGGCAATGATCTCAATGAAATCACACAAGTCAAAGGCTACTTGGATGCTCAATTTAAAATCAAGGACCTTGGTTCTCTTCGCTATTTCCTTGGCCTAGAAATTGCTCGTTCTTCAACTGGTCTTATTATCAATCAAAGGAAATACACACTGGGAATTTTAGCAGAAACTGGTTTCCTTGGATCTAAACCAGTCTCAACTCCTAAGGATTCTTCTTTAAAGTTGACTTCCAATGATGGCACAACCCTTGCTGATCCTACTGCTTACAGACGATTAATAGGAAAGCTACTATATCTCACAACCACTCGTCCAGACATCTCTCTCATAGTTAATCGTCTCAGTCAATTTGTATCTAAGCCAATGGATATCCATTTGCAAGCAGATCATCGTGTATTGCGTTACTTGAAAGGATCTCCAGCTGCTGGATTATTCTTCTGTGCATCAAGTGATATCAGCCTTCGAGCATTTGCTGATTCTGATTGGGGCTTATGTCCTGAATCTCGAAAATCAATCACAAGTTACTGTGTTTACTTAGGAGCTTAGTTAGTTTCTTGGAGCTCTAAGAAACAGGCTACGGTATCTCGATCATCTTCTAAGGCCGAATACCGTGCCTTAGCCAGTTTAACTTGTGAATTACAGTGGCTACAGTTCCTTCTTCGAGAGTTAGGCATCCCCTGGACTCGCCCTGCAGCAGTGTATTGTGACAGCAGATCTGCTATTGCTCTTGCCCATAATCCTATATTCCATGAAAGATCAAAGCATATTGAAATTGATTGCCATGTAACTTGTGAGAAAAATCTTTCTAGTCTGTTGCATTTGTTACCAATTTCATCTGATGCTCAGTTAGCAAACTTCTTTACGAAACCTCTTCCTCCAATGTTGTTTCTATCACTTCTCTCCAAACTGGGTATTCATGACATTCATAGCCCAGTTTGTGGGGGGGGGGGGGTATCAGCACATAAGACTCAAGTCAAGCCCACATCTACTACTCAAGGCTTAGTATAGTTAGTTCATTCAATGCCACCTGCCTTTTCTATTAATGCCACCTGGCCTTTCTATTTTTACAGCTGTAGTGTAGTTAGTTGAGTTTCATTTTCAGTTGCTCTCCTTAGTTGTAATCCTCTGTTTCTGATGTAGAGTAACAATGTATATAAGAGATGCTAATGAATCAATGCAAAGTAACAATTCATTTTATCATGAATATGAACTCCAATAGCAGATGCAAGGTTGTTGATATTAGAGGCTTTTAGAGAATTCACTAGCTGGAGTTGTGACTACAATGATGCTAGTTGGAAAATAGAGGCACCAACATCTTGAAAGCAGATAAAGTACAAGAAAGCATTGGAAGCTAACAAGAACGAGTTCAAGGAAGTTTTGTCCTTAGAAAATGAGTTTAGCAAACCAACTAGCATATTTGGAGCAAAGAAAGAAAGAGCTTGAAGAGCAAATAAATGCAATAAAAGCTAACATCTTTTCCTTTGAATTAGCTAAGATCACGATTACTAAGAGAAAGAGGAAAGTTTTTGAAGAAGCAAAGACTCTCAAAGCTCAAAGAGATAAGTTGAGGAACAAGTGCCTCACTTGAGAGATGAGTGGGAAGTGGCCAAGAAAAACCAAGCAAATATTCTAGCTGAATGGTCAAAGCTTGGTGAAAAATTTAACGAAAGCTTCAATGGTTTAAATTATGATTACTTGGATGGTAAATCCATTCAGGCTTGTCAACCCGAAAATCACATTTAACAAACTGAATTTCAGTTTTTACTAATATAAATACCTTCATACGAACTCGATCATAAGATTAAAAAGAGCTCTGATTTAAATTAAACATTTTTACTAGTGATTTAAATTTCATGATCTTATCTACAACATAATAAAAAATATCTTATTTCATTAGATAAAATATGTGTGCAACTTCTTCCAACTTTATGATTTACATAAAATATGTGTGCAACTTCTTCCAAATTTTTAGTACTATCGTCACATATGATACGTTCCAAATACGTTTTCGATATGACCATTAATTTGTCGATACGATACAATATGTTTCTGATACGCGTATCCGATATATTGGAAAAAAATTCAGAGTATCGATGCTTCATAGATCGTCGCCCCCAATAATAAATATTATTGTTATATTTATATTAGAGAAATATTATTTTATGTTGTAGAAGACAATTGATTTCTTCTACTTTTTCAAAAAGTCATTGAGCCCATTTCAATTTTTCTTTCTTTATGTAATGAGATCTATCATATTTATGTATTTATAACATAAGATAAAATATGTACAACTTATAGAGAAAAATATAACTCTTTATATTATGGATAAATTATTGATGACGGCTAATTTTTTTATTTTATTTTATCTCCTCAACTTTAACATGACAACTAGGGGTGATAATAAGGTCAGGGCCTTAGGCCCGGCCTGTTTCGGCCTGGCCCGACTCGTCTTTTTTAATTATTGGGCGCAGACTTATACTCATGCAAAAGCCTTTTTATTTTAAAGGCCTCAGGCTTCCACAGCCAAGCCCGGCCTTGAGCTTTGGAGGCTGGCCCGTATACATTAAATTTATTTATTTTTATATTTTTATATTAATCATTTCAACATCCTTTTCTCAGTTTTCTGTGTCTGCTCTATCTCTTCTCCCCGATCTAAGTCATTGTCCCACCAACAAGTAAATGATATCAACTCCCTCGCTAATCTATTTGGTCTGGTTATTTCTTCACCATCACTTTGGACGGCGAACTACTCGCAGCTGCAGCAGTGGCGTGGACAGCGACGGAGACACGGTCACCAGTGAAAAGTGACCGTATCTATGAAGATGAACATTCCACCATGGTGTGGTGGCTGCACCTTGTATCTCCGTCGAACAAGAGATATGAAGATGAAAATATAAGATGTAGAAAAAGAAAGATTAAAAATGACAAAAAAGAAAGAAAGATGAAGGTAATTCCGTTGATGATGCTTTGGCAACCAAAAGGAGACTATTAGACACCTGGGATCTGCAGCTTTTTCTTGAAGTCCCTATGGATTGTAGAGCGCTGTTTGCTAGAGATTTGATGGGCACTACTTGCCCCATACTCTGTTTTGTTTCTAGTTTTGTTGCTTTTCCCTTTGTTCAAAAAAAAAAAAAAAAAATTAAGGAAAAGCAACGTAAAGTAAAGTAAAGGTGCTGTTGTTATTTTGACTTTTTAATATTAATATGTTTTTTATTATAAAAGAAACAACTATTATTTTCTTACAAAAAAATACATATCAGGCCACAGGCTTTTGTGTATTTGTAAACGAACCAGACTTTTATTTTCTAAGAAACAACTATTATTTTCTTACAACTATTATTTTAATAAATAAACAGATCACATGCTTAAGACAGACTTTTGTTTTTTTGTAAACGAACCAGACTTTTATTTTTTGTAAACGATTCAGGCCACAGGCTAATATTATATTCGTAACAAGTAACAGGCTAAGGTCAGTCTGACACGTTTAAATACAGACTTGGCCCGTTAAGATCAAAGCTCTGCTCGGCTCGGCCCGTTAACACCCCTAATGACAGGTAAGTAATGGATACGAACACTTAAAATATTTTCCATTTGGAGGCATTGCAATTATTGTGCTTAGAGACTACCATCTTTCACAGCACATCAAATTTTCTGATCTATCATATCCATTATTCCGGAATACAACAAAATAGTATTAATGATACATATAAATTTGTTGAAATTTTTTAATTAAAAAGTTAATTTGACTTAGTATATAAAAGCATCTGAAATTGAAAAATTGATAATATTATTGATTATGTTAGTACTTAATAAAATTAGATCCTTACAGCATGTAAGACATAATTTTTTTAATAAAAAAAATGTTTAGAACATGCTTAAGATTGACATGACTTCCACTTAACTCATCCATTAAGTTTAAGACTCATCAAATATTCAGTCAGGCCTATGGGCCCAAGCCCACATCAGCGAGTACGGAGACTGGCCCGGGCTAAAGCCCGAAGCCTAAATAGCCTGAGCCGGTTCAGCTTTGTCCCCGTTTGACACAGTCCCTAGGTCTTTGAACTGCCATTGACGCTGGCCAACAGCCATAGCAGAATCCAGATTTTTCATCAGGTTCTTTTTATGCTAAATCTTAGAAACTTCCTTTCAATTTCAATTTCAATTTCAATATATATGGTTTAAAAATTGATGTGTACCTTGTTCTTTTTTCTGCTGGGCTTCAATTTTATAATTGAATTTAAATTGTAATAGCTATGTCTTTCGAATTCGAAACTCTGAATCTACTTTGCTTTGCTAAGTTTAGTTGATATTTGTTTCAGAGGGGAAAAAAAATGACAAATGAGAATAGAACAAGCATTGAGGTAGATTATGAATATGAAGAATTTGATAGTTCCAAGCGTCCAAAAATGACTTCTAAAGTATGGGAAGAAATGCAGAGAATTCAAACAAGTGATGGTAGTAAAGTTCTATGCAAACACTGTGGAAAGCTTTTGCAAGATAATTGTGGTACTTCACATTTGAAGCGTCATTTAATTAGATGCCCCAAGCGTCCAAAACCACTGGATATTATTACTCAAGATGATTCACGATTCAAAGGTAATATTTTTGTTCTTTTTTAATTTTTCATTTTTTTTATTGGATCTTGTTCCATAAATTCATGTTGACTCTAGTTTTCTATATTCATATATCTGCCATATAGTTGATCAAGCTTCATATAAATGATTGAATATGTTTAAATGATTATTTGCTATGAGATTTTTTTGCAAGTATAGTAGATCATCACTTGCACGAGTATCTTACATTTTGATCTGCTTTAAGTCAATGATAAAAACAATGCAACATATAGTAGCCATTCTAAAGAAATTGATCATTTGCTTTGATGCTAAATTGTAATATTTGTTAAGGAGAAATTCTTTGATGTATATATTGTGGCAGCTTCAGAAGCTTCATTTCCTGTCCTGTGGTTTTTATTTACATTTTACATTTCTTCCAATTGAAATGTGGCTGTGTGTGATACTGTGATTTTTGCCATTTCTCCATAGAAAACGCCTCTGGATTACCTTCCATTACCATCACTAACTTTTTTCCCCCCCTCTTTTTGTAGAATCTGGATTAAACACACTGCTTATGGGTCGCCCATTAAAGGTTGAACCTGAATCTCAAGTCTCAAGTTTTTGTCGGGCTCCGAAAATTCGAGCGCCTACTGTTATTCCAACCATTGAAAATGGTCCCATATCAGAACTACATGAAAAAACCAGTTCCATTATGTTGTTGTCTAACATTGAATCTCCCAGGAATCAAGGTGACCTGACTCTGGATGATGTAGAAATGAAAGAATTTTATGCTTCTCTTGATGCTGAGACCTCAGATATTTCATCTTCCCAAGATACCACAGTCAATTGTGAATTATCCAACACTACGCCTTGTGAAGAGACCAAGAAAGCATTGAAGACACTACAAGACCTTCTCTCCAAAGACTTCACTGTTCTATTGCATACTGGACACTGTGGTACAGTGAAATCTACCATTGAATACCTTTCAAAGTTGTCTGCTGATGATGGAATCTCAGCAGAAATAACATTGTTGATATTAGAAGTTTCTAGAGAATTCACTCGCTGGAGTTGTGACTACAATGATGCTAGTAGGAAAATAGAGTCTACCAGCACCAACATCTTGAAAGCAGATAAGGTAGAAGAAAGTCTTGAAGCTAACAAGAACGAGTTCAAGGAAGTTATGTCCTTAGAAAATGAGTTGAGCAACCAGCTGGCATATTTGGAGGAAAGAAAGAAAGAACTAGAAAAGCAAATAAATGCAGTTAAAGCTAACATCTCTGCTTTTGATTCAGCTAAAATCATGACTACTAAGAGAAAAAGAGAAGTTTTTGAAGAAGCAAAGACTCTTAAAGCACAGAGAGATGAGTTGAGGGAACAAGTTCCTCACTTGAGAGATGAGCTGGAATTGGCCAAGAAAAACCAAACAAATATTCGAGTTGAATGGTCAAAGCTTGGAGAAAAATTTAACAGAAGTTTAAATGGGGTAAATTGTGAGTGCTTGGATGGTAAATCCATCGTGGCCTGTCAAACTGAAAATGACATTTAATAAATTGAATTTCTATTGATACCTTCATACCAACTCGATGATGAGCTGATAAATGGAATAGAGGTCTGAAATTTGTTATACCTCCATTGTGAAAAATGAAGCATTTTTGCAGTTGATTTAAATTTCATTATCTTTGTACTAATTTTTTTTTCATTATCTTATACATAACCAACAAAAAAAAAATGTTCATGTTTCATTTAACAAAATAATTTTGAAGTGATTCCATATTTATGATTTGCCGTTGAAATTGTGAAAAATCAAGTGCTCGATTAAAAGTTGGATTTAGTAATTCGAGTTTCTTATATATGCATGGTACAACAAGTTTGTAAATTAAAAGCTTTGATTTTTTTATTGGGTATATATATATATATATATATATATATATATATATATATATATATATATATATTAATTAAATGTTGAAATAGGTGATACTCAATGCCATTAAGTGAATTAATTTTTAAGTGCATTGTTCAAAGTGTTATTATCAGCTATCAAGGATATTTTATTTATGAGAAAAATTATTCTTATATATATATATATATATATATATATATATATATATTAATTAAATGTTGAAATAGGTGATACTCAATGCCATTAAGTGAATTAATTTTTAAGTGCATTGTTCAAAGTGTTATTATCAGCTATCAAGGATATTTTATTTATGGGAAAAATTATTCTTATGTTACATGTGATAAATTTCTCTCTTACACACCTTTCGATAACTGTGCTATTTTTTTTTTTTACTTTTTAGGTGGTGGAGTCCACAAGTTTATCTCTATGACATGAGATAACTTATCTCCTTTAACATGAGATTAATAAAATTCTTTATTTATTTAATAAAGATTCACTCTAATATGTATTAACTTTCTTTTTTCTACAAAGAGAAACTTGTAAATTGTTTGGCAAACTAAAGATGTAATGTAAATTTTATGTTTAATTACCCGCTACCCACACCACAAAGAGAAAAAAAAAAACTTGAATACTTAGCTAAAGTATGTAAAAAAAAAAAAGCATAGTAAACTCTTGACTTTGTGGCCATTAACTTTACAATACTTGTGAGTAGTAATTATACTGAAAGTTAATTTGAGATTAATTTTTTTTTCAAAGATTTGATTTTATTTTATTTAATTTTAAAAAGAATTTAAAATTTTTTATTTTATTTTCAAAAAGATATTTTAGAAAATTTTCTTAAAAATCATGATACAATATCTAGTGCATAAATCTAAATTTTTTTCCTTAGGAATTGATTTTGAGAAAATAATCTAAAAATACTATACATTGAGTCCTTATTGATAGCTCTTCAAGAAATAAGGAGAGAAAAATATTGAAAAACTTAGAACCCAATAATCATACTCATCTAGGCTTATTTTGCATACTTTGAGAGAGCTCAATATCTTCTTCTCTTCATCTTTTTCTTTTGATATCTGTGTAATTCTAAAATTAGGGATGTTGTTCTCCTATGACTAGTTCAGTTGGAGTGATCCTAACGTATAGGTTAGGAGTGATCAAGGGGTTGATCATAGTATTATAAAATTCCAATTGAGTTTTGGTTCAAGGGAAGTGATCCTAGGGTTTAGGTTAAGAGTGATCAGGTAGATCACATATCTTGTAAAATTCTTCTTGTAAAACGATTTCTTCAAGCACCAGTTGAAAACTTGATGATAGTGGAACGATCGGCCTCTGTCTAGATGAAGCTCTCAGTGGTGGAGAGTGAAGCAGGATATATCCCGGTATTATCTTCTCTTCCCTTACCTTTTTATTTTTCGCTGCCTTTTACTCTTCTTTGATTCATTGTTCTTGATAATATGAATCTATTTTAAAGGTTTGAAATTTTTTATTAATTGTTAAATCACTCTTGCATGCTTTCTTTTAAAAAAGGATTTTTAATTTTTCTTTGTTTTTTGCAAAGAGTTTAAAACACAATTCACCCCCTTTTGTGTTGTTATTTAGCCATTCTTTCTTTATAAATTGCAAACTAAGTGACTGTATAAATATTCACAACCACATTAGAAAAATTCAAACACAACCACATTGTCATGCACTTACCTAAGCTTGATCCAATCAAGAATCCAAGTCCACACTCATTGGTTCACCTATTGATTGAGTTCCAACACCTTGTCCACTTGACTCAATCCTAGGAACAATGAACACAATCAAAATCCAAGAATCCAACATTACTTTAAATACAAGTAATCACAATGCCTATGAGATGAAATTTTAGAAAATGTTCAACATTTCAATGAAACCCTAATTGTGCATTTATCCCTAAAACTCAAAAAGGTTAGAAATGCTTACCACCAATCACTCCACAATGGCCCTAGGGATATTTTCCAACACAAATAGATACAATGTTCCACCTCAAGTCCATGAATGCCACCAAAACTGACACTTTTTTCAAGGAACAACTCACCACACAAAGCTTCTTTGTGGATTCTAAGTTTGGGATTTTGTTAACACAACAATCCTATGCATTTTTGCTTCCAACATGAAATGATTCCATTGAGTGTCAAGAGAGTTAGGTTTTCCAAGGGTTCTTTAAGGCTCATAAATGGTGTGGCTCAATTTGGTGAAGAAGGAATAAGTTTTGGTGAGGAGAAAGAGTCACTTAAGTGGGATATTCACAATTTTTGCACCTGCTCGCTGGGATCCTCACTTCAACAATCTTGCCAGCGAGGAGTGGCTGTGTAACACCCCATTACTGGACCAGTGTGTTATCATCAATTATAATATTAAGCGCAGTCACAATCTCAGTAGTTATTTGAAATTACGGGAATTTTTTTTTTTAATATTGTTTGCACTTTTAAAATAACCATATCAGACAATATACTAACTGTGATCATAACTCAAATCTTATAGCGAAATTATAATTACAGTATCTTAATACCATACAACTTACATTTGAAGGTGCTAAGTGGTTCCGATCAACCAACAAAGCTTAAATTCATTTTATTCATGTTTAACACTAGATGTCTTCACTTTTTTTGTTACCCTAGGAATTATATACTTTATCTATGACTCTCATCTTCTAGTATGTTATAAATTTCTTCGTTAGCTTCACGTCGGTTCAAACCGCGCTCAATTTGGAGCTCCATAGCTTCAGTTATGAATTTTCTAAAACAATGGGTCTTGATTCCACAAGAGCCCAACGCTAGTAGCGCCATGAAGTCGTATTTTCCAATGCTGCGATGTGTAACACCCCATGTATACCCGGTTTGTTAACATGTCATCGTATTAAGCTACGCTTAATTAAAAATGCGAAATATCTTTTTCTTTTCAATTATGACGTCAATATCATTACCAAGTTGAATTACTTAATTCATTTCCAAAACATCGCCTGTATGTGAATTGTAATAAAACATCTAACTGAAATACCTCATTAAATATATAATAAATGTGTCTCTAGTCACGGAACTACAACACATAGACCAGACAACATCATGATAGTTTATACAACTCCACTAAAAAGATACTAATATCAATGTGGCATGGACAAACCCCATGCTCACCAAATAAGGCAATAAAGCCCAACAACGTCTCAACTCAATAATCATCAAAAGTATAGTAAACATAAACAGTATCCAATATCCAGTCATGTCATCATACAACATATAACAATCAACTAAGCTCCGGCCTCCTGCCGTTAGAGGTCTCAACCCCTGGGTTACCTGAACCTGAAATAAGCGCCCCAAACGTGGGGTGAGATATCTAAACAGAAATCTTAGTAAGACAAGGGGTTCTCAAGGATCTTCCACCCCAAGCTCACTTACATGTGCAATATAAGTTCTAAAAGCAGTTTAACAATATCATTTCTAAATCAGCGCAATGCAGCAGATAATCATGTCATGTGTGTTATAACAAATCTACTGGCCAGAGAAATGCAGGAATACGTTTATTACCCACACAGTACGCGTCCATGCCGTACCTGCCCACAGGATCACATCTCGTCTAGGCGAACACCATATACATATCATAAGGCATTTGCACTTAACAGCTCAAAAGCATTTCAATTATCAAAGCATGAAAACACATCATGCATATAACCATCCCCCCATGGGACATGGTGGAACCAACAATGGCTAAACCGAGCACACGAAAGCTTACCTTGCAAGCTAACTATCCAAGCCAAGAGTCCAAACAAGCTCAAAGTCCACAAACAGCCAGATCACAATCTGTTTTAGACCAACAATTGTATCAATATTCAAACACAACAAGCATATGACATAAAGACAACACATTTCCTTTACGTTTCATGTCTTTAGGCTTCTCCTAAAGTCATAAGCCCTTCATCACATTGATTGTGACTTAGATTAATTATTACAGAAGTCCCCAATAACCAATCATGGGTCCACAAACCCAAAATGACCTTCTGTATGAACAGTACCGTTACTGTCTTCGAAAACCCAGAATATCCGGATATTTGTCGGGGACATATCCGAATATCCCATATCCGGATATGCATATCCGGATATCCATATTCGGATATCAACATACCCCATATCCGGATATCATATCCGGATATTTTGCGACAGAATACAGTTTCTGCATTTCGCGAGATATCCCTTCCAAGGTTCCATTTTTAACACTTCTAAACGTTAAAGCATTCATTTTTATTCACTTAAAGGTTCATGTTCAGGTTGGTTACTCATTTAACTTATTAACATGCCAAGACTCAACCTTTAAACAAAGAAAACTCATGATCAAGGTAGGGAACATACCCAAAGCTTCAAAACAGAAGCAACAAAGGCTCTTGGAGCTCTCTATGAAGCTCCCAAGGTTCTGACTACAAGGGACACAAAAATGTGTAGCAAGGATAACTCTTTCACCACAAGGTTCAACACTTGAAGCTTCCACAACCAATGAAAGTTCCTCCTCCAAGGGAACTCAGAAACACAACCCAAAAAACTTCCCAAAACAGCAACCCCAACTCAGCCAAAGCTGACCCTCACTCTCACAAGTCACTCTACCAAGTGTTTACAAGGATTAAGAGGAAGGAATCAAGCAAAGGTGGCAACTTGGTGGTTTTTACAAAGGAAGGAAGGCAAGATAGGTGAAGAGGCTGGTCAGCAGCTCCAA